TAAGTAATGTTTTTTTTGAACGTATTTATGTGCTATTTACTTGGAACTATTTTTGTCCGTGTTTCAGTAAACCTAAAGTAGTCTCGCGTTCGAAATTACTTGTCTCGAAAGCTGCGCGTGTCGAGGCTTACAGAAAATTCATTCCCCCATTCTTTTCTCTTATTTTTCCGGCGGGAAAATATCTACACGCAGACCACGCCAGGATACGTCCCGAATCCTTGCACAACGGCGCGCATTTGTAATCTCTACGGACTCGGTGATACAGCAGTAGATGAAAGATACAATTGTGCGAATAAGAACAGAGTACAGGAAGAACGGCGCGGTGCAAGCGCAGCGTGACACGTTAATATAGAAAAGAGGTTTTTATCCGATGAATTTAATTTTAAAGTCGTTTCAGCCGGGTCTCTCTACCCTGATGAGACGAGTAAATAAATAGTTTTTCGTTGTACGATTCGCTATGAAGTTCCTTTTCTCGTTGTATGGCTCTGTATGACTCGTAATATCGCGCAAAAATGTTTGCAAGCTGCCGCGTCGCAAAAAGAAGAGAAGCATCCCTCGAGGACATTAACGTATTTTCGCCGTCGACTTTAAGAAAGCTTAGTCGGTCGCTGTTTTGCGATTAAACTGAAGGGAAGAACATTCGAAATTAGTAATGTCTGGTACTCTTTGGTGAAGGAAAATTCTTATCAGCATCTGTACATTTTAATTAAATAGAAAATATATTGACAATACAAAAGAGGTAATTAGAATAAACGTAATTTGAGTTTGAGAATTTTAATCTTCCAAATAAAAAGGATTATTTTTTTTTACACAGTAAACATTAGAAAAATGTACTGAACCGTAGAATTATGTTGTCTTTCGATTTTGTAGGATGTACAGACGTTGTGTAAAAATTGTTTCTTTTTCAATGAGTACCATAAGTGACCACTTCCGAACACTGTCGTCCTTTACGTCCTCGACGTTGATCCATCTTGTTCGACACGACGTACGTGTAACTTTTAGTCGATACACCTGCACGGGGAATGAAACTCGCCAGTTTCCCTTTTACGTCGACGTTCTGCGTAAATGTTCGCGAGTTTACCAGGCATCGCCCAGCCGCGTGCGTCGAAGAGTAAAAAGATGAAGTTACCGCAACAAAATAATACGGAACTATTTCTCTATCCAAAGTAGAGAAACACGGGGCACGTGGCCGGTTTATAGACGCACGATATCCTTCGGCGGTTTTACAGTTTCTTTAATAAAAGAAGGATGAAGGGTGGTAGGGGCAGAAAGGTATGAGAAACGTTGTATCTCAGCCTCGAGTTTCCTCTTCCCTCCATCGAAGTATCGATCTCCCGTCCTTTAGCCCAGATATATATTTACTGTAAACTTTCGTATTCTGTAAAACGTTTGAGCGAACGAGAGCCTTGATTGTTGACACAATTCATACGCCGGCAAGCAGGAAAATATTCGAGAAAACACGTCGTGGGAGAAATATAAGAAAATATCTCGTTTCTGAAAAATACTTCTCAAGCCTTGTTTTCCTGATGCATTTTATGCAACGATTCGTAACTTTATATTATCTCGTGTTTATAAACTAAAATTACACACTCGCATTTGTTTGATTTCTTCTTTCTACTCTTACGTTTAACGTTACAGAGGGGGTGGTTACCTAACGTTATTATTCGACATAATCCCTTTGGTGGTATGGTTAACCCCCTACAACCTCGTCCGATCGAGGCGAAAGTCTGTTTTTACCCTTTCGTCGCTATACGCCGTCGTTGCTTTAAGGTAATAGTACGGTTAGCAACGGATCTGTTTATAACAGCTTACGAGTTATGATTTCTCACACTTAAATGGAAACGTTTGGAACATTGTTATAATGTACCGTTTAATTTACATCCTATTATCAATGCTTATCGTGTACTATTATGTAAGTTTCTTTAAGTTAAAAATAATTTGGATTATAGTGGGTTCGAACGAAAAGAATTGTTTTCTACGGAGACTATACAAAATATGGAAAATCGTACAAAAATTTTAGAAAGATATTGCTCGTAATTCGAAAATTTACAAAAGAAATCGAAATTAATAGAAATTGACAGAACTTATGGTTTTTCGATTTAATCATGGAATATATTACACTAATGGGTCAAAAGAAAATCGTTTGCGAAACGTATAAAGCAGAAGCGAGTATGTGTACACTGAATGTCAGTGATTCTTGCCATTTGGGGGACAAATTGTTGATTTTTTGCTAACCCTTCTCCTTCGCGTCACGCATTTCGATTTAGTTTGTTAAGGCGCTTAACTTATGCACGTCTTAGGTGTGTAGGATCATTATACCGTGAACTGCATGACAGTTCATGAATGAACTCGTTTATTCTGTATTACATCAATTTACATCATAGTAATATGGAATTAAAAAAAATACTAAAAGTTATTGACTTGTGTCATTTTCGTAATCACCGGTCCATTTATACACAGGACCAGCAATTAATACAAATATTCCTTATATTATCAATTTTACAGTTATCTACTTACAAAAGCTAAATTATAAGCAATTCAAACGAGAACTTTCACTTCGAACAAACAGAAAACCGAATTCTCAAACACAGAATACAATCACAGATCTACAATATTATCGACAAACTTAAATCGTTTAACAATGAAAGAAAATTATACTTACCATTCTATAAATACAATTTCTTTCGCATAAAATACAAGAAATTTTACTCGAAATAGAATAAATAAAAATTTTCAACACAATGTTATATCGTACAGAATATGCAAAACACCTTAGAGAAGGTAAATTTAAATGTTTAGAATGCCAGAATATGCAGTTTATACAAAAGTTTTAAGTATTCATATATTTGTACATTTTTATGCATCGTAAACGTTTGGTACAGAAGTTAGTCGCGTTTAGGTTAAATGTTTCGAAAGGTTGGAGCCTCTCCACCATGCAGTTGCCGATATAATGATTTTGCGCATTTATGTCACGCAGCCATTAGGCGCCTTAGTTCGCTAAACAGAGGAGTTACGCGAAGCGAGACACTTACCCCTCACTTGGCAAGAATGCCATAAGTTGCTGCATTTCAGATACAAAGGATTTTTCGAAACTCGTATATACGTTTGTAATTTAGTTTGTACAAACACGAACGTTTTCGACCCTCGATACTCTTTTATTTTTTACATGTAGATAACACTCGTAATCTGCCCCTAACGCGTGAATCAGAGGACATTGAACGTGCTAAAGAATCATAAAAAATTCTAACATTATTTTTATTTTTGATTATTCGTATATCCGCGGAGGACGTTATTTGAAGGTCAGAAACGTTCGAGCGTGTGCAAACGAAACAAGCATATACAGGGTGTTCGGCCACCCCTGGGAAAAATTTTAATGGAAAATTCTAGAGGCCAAAATAAGACAAAAATCAAGAATATCAATTTGTTGATTGAGGCTTCGTTAAGTTGTTATTAAAAAATTTCAAATTATTCACGCAAAAATTATTTACGATTGTGGGGGTCAATTACAATCATTTTTGGTAAATACACATACCCTCGAAATCTTACGCACTTTCGAGAAAAAAATTCCTTACCGAAAATATAATGTCTGACCAAACATTGACATGTTTCCCTGAAATTTCACGCGTATGATTAAAAAATTTCAAATCGTTATGGAAAAATTATTTTCGGTTGCGGGGGTCAATTACAATCATTTTTTGTTAATACACATACCCTCGAAATCCTATGCACTTGCGAGAAAAAAATTCGAGTAGGTGTGAAATTTTTCGACAAAATTAAAAAATTTCTAATCGTCTTAAAAAAATTATTTTTGGTTACAGGGGTCGATTATAATCATTTTTGGTCAATAGACATACTCCCGAAATCCTGCGCATTTTCGAGAAAAAAATTCAGTACGGGCGGAACTTTAAACGTGAATCAACAATTTAGTGTCCTTGACTTTTGTCTTATTTTGGCCTCTAGAATCTCCCATTAAAGTTTTTCCCAGGTATGACCGAACACCCTGTATACAATATTTCCATACCGAGAGTCACGAAAAGATATGGTTTACTCAAAACGTTCGTTTTAGTTCCGAGATGAACGCATACTTTGATCGCATATCGGATAATAAAATTAGGTGAAACGCCCGTAAAAGTAAATCGCGTTAAAACTAGCTCCTCTCGTTTACCAAACTACCGTCGATTATTACACGTTCCCCGAAGAAACAACCCCCGTGTTCGCGACGGACGTGGTAAGTACGCGCGCGTTTCACTCTCGCACGGAAGCATCGTTGCAACGAAGCGATAGCGTTTCCACGGCTACGCAGGACGCAAGAAGAGGGAAAGGGAAAATTTGAAATCCGGGCCGTGCACCTCTTGACTAGCTTCTACGCGTGAAAATCGCAGGATCGATCCCCGAGTCTTCCGCCTGGCCCGCAAACAATGGCCGAACGGATGCAAAGGGCGCCACGGCACGCATCTTCGTCCCAAAATGGCGGCTGGAATATCCTTGCGGGTCTATACGTCGCTGGTCACGTTCTTTCCAACGTTCGTCAAACTGGGAATTCGGAAGAAAGTACCCTTTGAGGCGAAAACGTATGCAAGCACGGCGCACAACGTGGATCTCGACTTCAAAGCCGATTGTCGAACCGTCGTCGAACAAATCAGCTGCTCGTTACCGATCGGACGCGAAATCGCTCGAGCATCGCGACGGAGCGATCGTTCGCGAGTTTAATTCCCTTTGTCCTCCCGAAACCTGTGCGTCGTAAAGCGTTTCGCGGAATTGTTCTATGGTGGAACTCTTTGACCGGATGTCGCGTCCGACGTTCCCCGATCGCGCGAGATTTCGAACAAACTGAACGTGGTACGCTAAAAAACACATAATATTCATGCCGATTCAACAATAGTGTTATTGGTTTTCCCGCCGGTAGATCGGTTGCCCCTTAAACTTTTCCCCCCCTTTCCCCTCCTCCTGCTTCTTCTTTTGACTAGTGCGCTGTTTATCGTGCGACGCCCGTGAGCTCCCTTTCCGTGGCCTCAGGCGTGCCATGACTATCTCAGAAGCAGCTGGAGCATACACAGCATCAGCATCGTCAAACAGGCGGCCGTGGAAGCTTCGCTTCCGTTCTCGGAGGTCACTGTAACATACACACGACACGTACAATGTTATTATGTTGTCCTGTCCTCGGGTTCGTGATCGCTATATCGGTGTCGTCAAAGCTGGCTATTACACAGGGTGTTGAACGTGGGACTGGGAAGGGTTGCATGGTCGAAAGGGTCCCCAGACACGACGAAAAGGCATTTGCATCTTCCGAATTTCTAGCCGGGTTAATTGGAAATTGATAAAATTTCTGTTACAATAATCGTGTACTACGTGTGATGGAAAAGCTCGCGACAAGGATTTCATTTACTGAAAATATTCAACATCAGAATCTATTATGGCGATCTCCAATTATTTAGGAAAATACCTGGAAAGCTAATGGATATAGGGATAAACCGTGAGTACAAAAAGAGTTTAATTTTTGACGATGAATAACACGGTTCCGATACAAACTATGGCGTCTCTGTAATCAAACAGACAGAATATTGGGAAAATATATACCTTAGTCTATAAACTCAGCGACCAGTTTTCATACAGCAAAAACATAAAATGTATTTATAAACCGACGATCCGATCGATGAAAACGTATTCAGTTTAAAAATATTTCGTCGAATAGAAATTTCGTGACTTTGAAAGTAACTTTTATTCCTTGCGCGTAAACGCTAACCGATAAAACAGATTCGTTTAATATTCGTCAAAAAATTTCATAAAAAACAGAGATCGCCGAACGAGTGTTTTTTTTTGCCAGTTTCTATCAATCAATTTAGAATTTTATGGATTTTACTACCGTCGGATAACCGCGAATATCTGACAAATAAAACACAACGATCGCGCGGTATTACACTTTGGCGGGTGGCTTGAAAATGTTGCTATTTATTCGACACGTATCGGCGTCGTGGTTCTCGGTAATTCGAGATTAACGCTTATCTGTTGGGCAGATTTGAAATCTGATGAATAGGCATCGCGATGATCGATCCGCGTAACAATGATAATTGGTGAATTTTAATCCCGATAAAACAAGCTGTGCGTTATCAACCGCAATTGCGTTGCATGCGGAAATCAAATATCTGGTACGCCAGTGACGTTAGCAGACGCTGCAATCGATGCAGAGGAAAGAGGCTTAAAGTATCATCATGTCCAGATACACAGACTGATGAGGTTTCAAAGTTACCGTATCTAATCCCTTCTCATAACACGCAAACAATGGAAATCCATTGAATGTTTCCACGTAACCACAAATCGTGGACCAGTTTCAATAAAACCGTATTTCATCTAATTCAAACATTCGTCAAAGGAACTTGTGCTTGTATATCTGAGATGAAATTATTTTTTCCCCGTAATTACACAGTGAGTTAAGATGAACAACCGTAAACAATGATGATCAAAATTTTATTCGAATAATAATATCAACGATATATGTCTTCATTACAGTATGCAGATAACCGTTAATATTTACATTTCTCCTCTCTGTTTGAACAGTGAATTATACTATAATTTATGTAAAGGGGGAGATTTAGCGATAAGCTGCAATTGAATCCGATTCTGAATAGGGAATACTAAATGATAAATAAAATTACGGAAAAGTGATTTATTCGCAATATTTATTCCACCGAACAGTTAATCAGATAAGCTTATACTTCTCCAAACTGATATATAATTTCGTTCCACAATTTACATTGTGGCTATTATTGCGCAAATAATGGACAAAAGTACACAATTTAATAAATTAGATACAGGAACTGTCTAGGAAACGAGAAAGTTTTAGATACGAATGAATCTCATTCTTTGTCCCCGCTACAATGTCGTAAAGAGTCTATAAGAAAAACGACGGAACTTTTTCTTAGTTACAGATAGCATTATTCAACGATGCAACTGGTAAACTTCTACCCCTTTTCTTTGATATTATCTCTCCACTCAACCCTTCGTGTTTCACGTAATAGGGGCTACAGACGTAACGATTTATCATACGATAAAACACAACGCGGTGTAACGATAGTTCTTTCACGTATATTAAGCTGGCGTAGCCATTTGAAAAGGCCAAAGCAAAATTAATACGATATTTTTTTGCTATTTATTTGCTAATTATTTGCCAAAGAATTAATTTTTTTGCTCCAGCCGTTTTTGAGAAACAATGGCTACGCTACCGTAATATTAAGCTGGCGTAGCCACTTATTGTATCTCTGTACGTAAGACAGATATCAATACCATTCTTGCGGCATATTTTGTTGCTAATTTATTGCTCTTAATCCACTGAATATTAATTTTTTTGCCCCAGCCGTTTTCGAAAAACTGTGGCTGCTGTAGCTCAATATTAACCTAACGTAGCCAGATGTTGTATCACAGTAGGTAACAAAGCTATCGATACCATTCTTGCGGCATATTTTTTTGCTAATTATTTGCTATCAATCCCCCGAATATTAATTTTTTTGCTGCAGTATTTTTCGAGAAACGACGACCGCGCTGGAAAGGAGTTAATCAAGCATAGCCTAAAGGGTGTACAATGCTGGTTGTAGGTAAGTGCAGAAAAAGAATGAAAGATTTTGTATCATGGCCTGCCGACAAGGCATGCGGAAGAAACTTTGCAAACAGTAACAGGCCATTACACGGCCGTTATATATCGAAAAGGCGATCCACAAACAAATTGGATAGAATTTGATGACCTAAAAAATCAAAGCACAAATCGAAAAGCAAATTACAAAATCGTGCCACGATTATTGATGTACATGAAAGATATAAAATTATAAAATAAAATGATACAAAATCTTTCATTCTTTTTCTGCACTTACCTACAACCAGCATTGTACACCCTTTAGGCTATGCTAAATTAACTCCAGCAAAAAAATTAATATTCGGGGGATTGATAGCAAATAATTAGCAAAAAAATATGCCGCAAGAATGGTATCGATAGCTGTGTTAGGTACAAAGGCGCGACACGTGGCTATGCTAGATTAACGCTGGTCCAGCGCGGTCGTCGTTTCTCGAAAAAGACTGCAGCAAAAAAATTAATATTCGGGGGATTGATAGCAAATAATTAGCAAAAGAATATGCCGCAAGAATGGTATCGATAGCTTTCTTAGGCTCAAAGGCGCGACACGTGGCTATTCTAGATTAACGCTGGTCCAACGCGGTCGTCGTTTCTCGAAAAAGACTGCGGCAAAAAAATTAATATTCGGGGGATTGATAGCAAATAATTAGCAAAAGAATATGCCGCAAGAATGGTATCGATAGCTTTCTTAGGCTCAAAGGCGCGACACGTGGCTATGCTAGATTAACGCTGGTCCAACGCGGTCGTCGTTTCTCGAAAAAGACTGCGGCAAAAAAATTAATATTCGGGGGATTGATAGCAAATAGTTAGCAAAAGAATATGCCGCAAGAATGGTATCGATAGCTTTGTTACCTACTGTCATACAACATGTGGCTACGTTAGGTTAATATTGAGCTACAGCAGCCACAGTTTTTCGAAAACGGCTGGGGCAAAAAAATTAATATTCAGTGGATTAAGAGCAATAAATTAGCAACAAAATATGCCGCAAGAATGGTATTGATATCTGTCTTACGTACAGAGATACAATAAGTGGCTACGCCAGCTTAATATTACGGTAGCGTAGCCATTGTTTCTCAAAAACGGCTGGAGCAAAAAAATTAATTCTTTGGCAAATAATTAGCAAATAAATAGCAAAAAAATATCGTATTAATTTTGCTTTGGCCTTTTCAAATGGCTACGCCAGCTTAATATACGTAGTTCTTTCGACCTGTCGTTCATCGTGTTCCCCACAGAAGTAAACGACCCGTTCGACGATCTTACACAGAAGTACACTTGACCGTAAAAAAATATATTTTCGAGTTAATGATTCTGTTTCTAAGCTGAAACTATACAGACAATCTTTCTGACTGGTCGTTGAACACGTTCCTGCATCAAATCTGCAATATACTGGACTTTATGACAGCGTCGTACTGGTCATTTAATATGGCCGCGCTTTACGGCAGATTGTACGAGCCCGTGAAGCGTATAATTGTAAAGTAGAAGTGTCAAAGGGTCCAACTAAAACGAATCAAGAGAGTATACTGCGAGGCTCAGAAAAATATAATTTAAAAATCCTGCAGATTATTGGTCTCAAGAGCAAGTAAAATACAAACACCCCCAATTGAAAATTGTCTCTAACTGTTAAAATACTACTCAAATCGTACGCAAAATATTTAAATGGGCAATCGAATTAAATCAATTTTCACGCAATCATACGACTTATTCACTGAGAAATTTTAACGTCCGCGGGCTGAACACGTACAACAGATAATTCATCAGCTATTTCCATGAACCTCTGTTTCTCCTCTATCTATCATGGGTAATGATATTAAACCGTAATACCGAAACGCGTAATAAAATTTCCCAGCGGAGCAGAAACTCTCGCAAGGGACACTATTAAACGGAACGCCAATAGATTTTCTTTCTTCGTGCTTTGTTCCTTCGGTCTGGGGAAAAGTCAATTCCGTAAAAACAATTCTGTCGACCACGGGCCAGGGAGTAATACGTACGAATCAACGGACCCGAGCAGTAGCCTGCAAAAGACCTGGTGTGAACGAAATGAAATTACTACTAGCGCGGAACCGAACGAATTCCTGTAACGTCGGTGCCAGGGGTTTGATGGAAAAGGGACCAAAAGGAACGAGCACCGCGGGTTCTCGAATTAGTACAGAGCCGCGCTCTTTTTCGACATATCAATCCTCCGGATTCGCTCTAGACATCTTTTTATCGAGCTACCTCGAGGAAACGCGAATACACGTGCTCGAAATGTATTTCTTTTAAATCGATGCGTCCCCATGGTTAGTTAAGCTTTTCTTTCAAGCGACGCTGCTCGATTGTTGGTAGCTTTCCAAAGAAAATACGTTAACAGCGTTTTAATGAATATTTGAATAATAGATATTTTAGTTCCAGCTAAAGAAACGAGATCGATAATGATTTTAATTTTCACGTATTCTCCAATAATCGTTCATTTTTATAACGATAGTTACACGTGGATATACCAAATTTTGGTAACG